GGCTGAGGGAGCTGGGAAGGGGCTGGAGCAGGGTCTGGAGTGGCTTAGGGAGCTGGGAAGGGGCTGGAGTTGGGTCTGGAGCCCCTGGAGAGGCTGAGGGAGCTGGGAAGGGGCTGGAGCGGGGTCTGGAGTGGCTGAGGGAGCTGGGAAAGGGGAAGAAGCCTGGAAAAAATGGGATCAGGGGGGACTTTGTGGCTCTGCACAACTCCCTGACAGGAGGGTGCAGCCGGAGGGGATTTGGGATCTCATCCCAGGGAACAGGGACAGGAGGAGAGTGAACAGTCTCAAATTGCACCAGGGAGCGTTTGGTTTGGATATTGGGAAAATTCCTTCATGGAAGGGGCTGTCCAGCCTGGCAGAGGTGGAGTCCCCATTCCTGGAGGAATTTAAATCCCCGTGGATGTGACACTTGAGGACAGGGGCAGTGTGGCCCTGGCAGAGCTGGGAACAGTTGAATTTCATGGGCTGAGGAGGGTTTTTTTCCACCCCACCTTGACAGGGAACGAGTCAAGTTGTGCCAGGGGGGATTTGGATTGGATATTATGGGAAATTCCCTCCTGGAATGGGCTGCACAGAGCAGGGAGGGAATCCCCATTCCAGGAGGGATTTAAATCCCTGTGGATGTGACACTTGAGGACGGGCAGTGTGGCCCTGGGAGAGCTGGGAACAGTTGAATTTTGTGGGCTGAGGGTTTTTTTCCACCCCACCTTGACAGAGAACGGGTCAAGTTGTGCCAGGGGGGATTCGGATTGGATATTATGGGAAATTCCTTCCTGGGAAGGGCTGTAAACATTGGGATGGACTGAGCAGGGCAGGGAGGGAGGGATTTAAATCCCTGTGGATGAGGACAGGGGCAGTGTGGCCCTGGCAGAACTGGGAACAGTTGAATTTCATGGGCTGAGGGTTTTTTTCCACCCCACCCTGACAGAGAACAGTTCAAGTTGTGCCAGGGGGGATTCAGGTCGGATATTATGGGAAATTCCCTCCTGGAATGGGCTGCACAGAGCAGGGAGGGAATCCCCATTCCTGGAGGAATTTAAATCCCCGTGGATGTGACACTTGAGGACAGGGGCAGTGGTGGCCTCAGCAGAGCTGGGAATGGTTGAACTCTGTGGCCTGAGGGTTTTTTTCCACCCCACCCTGTCAGAGAACGAGTCAAGTTGTGCCTGGGGGAATTCAGTTTGGATATTATGGAAAATTCCTTCCTGGGAAGGGCTGTAAACATTGGGATGGACTGAGCAGGGCAGGGGGGGAGAGATTTAAATCCCCGTGGATGTGACACTTGGGGACAGGGGCAGTGTGGCCCTGGCAGAGCTGGGAACAGTTGAATTTCATGGGCTGAGGAGGGTTTTTTTCCACCCCACCTTGACAGGGAACAAGTCAAGTTGTGCCTGGGGGAATTCTGATTGGATATTATGGGAAATTCCCTCCTGGGATGGGCTGCACAGAGCAGGGAGAGAATCCCCATTCCTGGCAGAATCTCAAACCCTGCAAATGCAACACTCCGGGACAAGCTCAGCGCCAACCTCACCACCAACTCCACCATCCCAGAACCCTTTTCCCAGATTATTTCCCAACCCATTCCCTAATCCCAGGCTCTCCCACCCGCAGGTGGACGCTCGGAACATCGACGGCAGCACTCCGCTGTGCGACGCCTGCGCCTCGGGCAGCATCGAGTGTGTCAAAGTTCTGCTGTCGTACGGAGCCAAAGTCAACCCTCCCCTCTACACAGCCTCCCCTCTCCACGAGGCCTGCATGAATGGTAATTCCAACACTTTTAGGATTTATCCATGTTTTTAGGGTTTTTCCGCGTTTTTCCGGGGATATTTGCAGCTCGGGGTAGGGAAAAAGCAGCAGGAAGTGTTGTAATTTCACCATAATTTGTTTGACTTCTGCCCGTGTTCAGAGGCTGTTGGGTGGGAAGGAAAAGCTTCTTCCCAGTGGTTTTTTTGGGAAGTGCTGCTGCCTGTGCTGCTCCTTTTCCTTTTCCCAGTTTTTCCTCAGCTTTTTCCAGCTTTCCCCAGCTTTTTCCAGCTTTTCCCCAGTTTTTTCCATCTTTCCCCACCTTTTCTCCATCTTTCCCCCTGCTTTTCCCCTGCTTTTTTTCCACATTTTCCCCAGCTTTTCCCCTTTTTTCCCCAGCTTTTTCCAGCTTTTCCCCAGTTTTTTTCCCACCTTTTTCCCAGCTTCTCCCCGTTTTTTCCCCAGCTTATTCTGTTTTCCCCCAGCTTTTTTTCCACCTTTTCCCCAGCTTTTCCCCTTTTTTTTTCCCAGCTTTTCCCCTGTTCTTCCCCCAGTTTTCCCCCTGTTTTTCCCTATCTTTTCCTTGGCTTTTTCCCAGCTTTTCTGCAGCTTATCCCCAAAGGAAATCTCTCATTGCACCGACCCACAAAAATTCCCCATTTCCATCGCCCCAAATATAAACCAGGCTGCTCTGAGCATCCCATTGGAGCTGCATTCCTGGTTTTCACTTGGATTTTCCTGGTTTTTCCCTTGGATTCTCCCATTTTTCCCTTTGGATTCTCCCATTTTTCCCCTTGGATTCTCCGGTTTGTCACCTTGGATTCTCACATTTTGTCCCTTGGATTTTCCCGTTTTTCCCCTTGGATTTTCCCATTTTTCCCCTTACATTCTCCCATTTTCCCCCTGCATTTTCCCATTTGTCCCCTTACATTCTCCCATTTGTTCCCTTGATTTTCCCATTTTTTCCCTTGGATTCTCCTGTTTTTCTCCCTGGATTCTCCCGTTTTTCCCCTTGCATTCTCCCATTTTCCCCTTGCATTCTCCTGTTTTTGCCCTTGCATTCTCCCATTTTCCCCTTGCATTCTCCCATTTTCCCCTTGCATTCTCCCATTTTCCCCTTGCATTCTCCCATTTTTCCCCCTGGATTCTCCCATTTTCCCCTTACATTCTCCCTTTTATTCCCTTGCATTCTCCCATTTTTCCCCATGCATTCTCCCATTTGTTCCCTTGGATTTTCCCATTTTTTTCCCTTGGATTCTCCTGTTTTTCCCCCTGGATTCTCCCATTTTCCCCTTACATTCTCCCATTTTCCCCTTGCATTCTCCCATTTTTCCCCTTGCATTCTCCCATTTGTTCCCTTGGATTTTCCCATTTTTCCCCTTGGATTCTCCTGTTTTTCTCCCTGGATTCTCCCATTTTTCCCCTTGCATTCTCCCATTTTTCCCCTTGCATTCTCCCATTTTTCCCCTTGCATTCTCCCATTTGTTCCCTTACATTCTCCCATTTGTTCCCTTGGATTTTCCCATTTTTCCCCTTGGATTTTCCCATTTTTCCCCTTGGATTTTCCCATTTTTCCCCTTGGATTTTCCCATTTTTCCCCTTGGATTTTCCCATTTTTCCCCTTGGATTCTCCCATTTTGTCCCTTGGATTCTCCCGTTTGTTCCCTTGGATTCTCCCATTTTTCCCCTTGGATTCTCCCATTTTCCCCTTACATTCTCCCATTTTCCCCTTCCATTCTCCCATTTTCCCCTTCCATTCTCCCATTTTCCCCATGGATTCTCCCATTTTCCCCTTCCATTCTCCCATTTTCCCATGAATTCTCCCATTTTCCCCTTCCATTCTCCCACTTTCCCCTTGGATTCTCCCATTTTGCCCCTTGGATTCTCCCGTTTTCCCCCTTGCATTCTCCCATTTTCCCCCTTGGATTCTCCCATTTTCCCCTTACATTCTCCCATTTCCCCATGGATTCTCCCATTTCCCCATGGATTCTCCCATTTTCCCCTTCCATTCTCCCATTTTCCCATGGATTCTCCCACTTTCCCCTTACATTCTCCCACTTTCCCCTTCCATTCTCCCATTTCCCCATGGATTCTCCCATTTTCCCCTTCCCAAGGCAGCCCGGAGTGCGTGCAGCTCCTCATCGACGTCGGTGCCAACCTGGAAGCTCACGATTGTCACTTTGGGACACCGCTGCACGTGGCCTGTGCCAGGGAACACCTGGATTGTGCCAAGCTGCTCCTCAACGCAGGTACAGCATTCCTGGGATTTTTTCCAAACATTTTCCTCACTGGAATTCCCTCGAGGAGTTGTTCCCACATGGGAAAATGGGAAATTTGGCGTTTTCTGGAAGAAAATGAAGGTTTAGGTATTTTTCCAGCACAGGGTATGAAATTCCATCCCTGGGATGTCCAAGGCSTTGGGATTTGTCCCAAARGAATGAAACTGGATAAGCTTTCGGATCCCTTCCAGCCCAACCCCAGAATTCCTTAATTAAATTATCCTAATTTAACAAAATTCATTAAAATCACCCAATTTAATGTGCCTGAGTGACTTGGCTGGATGCAGCTCTCAC